CCTGGCTGGCTTTGTCTGAAGTAGGGTTGGGCCTGGTGACTACTTGGAGGAGAGATGTCCAGAGACGACCAAGCTTGTAACCTAAACCAGAAAAGGGTGGCAGGGGGGAGCATCTCAAAAATGGCAGACCAATTTTGTATTGTGAGTCTTCAGGACTCAAGATCACCTTGAAGGAGATTTTAATTTCTGATAAAGATATGGCCGGACTGGATTTTTCTCAGGGGCTAACATGGTTATCCTTGGGCTTTTTGGAAGCATACCCAGTTTCTCTAGTTCTGTTCTATCCTGGGATTTGAATGGCCAAATGATTGGCATTGTTTCCCTTTTCTACCACCTATGATTTCCTCCCACCCCCAGTCCCGTTCGTTTGTGTTGCCTTGACCTTCCTTGGAAGGCTAATCAAAATTCTAGCCTGTCCCCTGTGGGGGTTCCCCTTCCCCCAAGCCCTGGCTGACAGGTTGCTATCTCCCTTCCCCCTCCCTTCTTAAATAATTCAGCTCCCTGTAGCTGTCCCTTGGCTCCATCTGCATCCCGGTTGCTGTTCGCTGGGTCCCTGCCGTGCTAACAACATAAGCTCCTCGCTTGGTAATTGCCAGATGAATAGAGGAAGATCATGGGAGACACCAGAGGGAAATGGAAGCGGCAGGAGGTGGTTCTGGTGCAGGAATGCCATCCATCCGTATTATCGCCTGGATTAATGGAATCCAGGAAAAGTGCTGTTCCCTGGGTCTGCACACGTAAAGTGTGAATGCAAATGCAAAAAGCACACCATTTACTCAATGGTAATCTGGGATGGTGTGCTTCTTAACCATTCGCAAACTGATGGTCTTCATTGTTTTGTGCATCAGGGAGGAGAATTTTACCAACCTTCTGTTCTTGCTTATCCTTTCTGAGGTGGTAAAGGAGGGAGGAATGGTTTTCATTGCTGGCCAGAGTAATTCAGGTAACAGAATTAGCAAATGATTGAGTGCCCACCATGACAATATGGTGAATGGTTAGGGATGTACACTGGAAATGGGCAAGGCTGCTTGGTTTTATTCCAGATAGCTGGGCAATCCCTGGAATGGATGAACAATTGAATTATGTTTCAGTGGTAGTGTGGAATGTGAAATCTTGGAAAGGATTCCAGAGTGCAGACCAGACACGTGCAGCTGAAAACATGTCTACCTGATGATCCGGGCTGTGCTGTGACACTCTGCGTGATTTGAGGTCATCCAGAACAGGTATTAATGGGTATAAACAGCAGTTTCCCACACTGAAGGCTTCTGAGCCGGAAGCTGACACATTGGAGACACCCCCCAGGACATAGCTTATGTGATCCAAGGGTTCCAGCATGCTGAGAGATAGATTACAACATTGTCCTTCCATATCTATGGCCCCAGGCATACCATGCAACGTCTAGCAAAATCAGAGCTATCCCTGAGTTGTATTAGATCATCTGTCACATGCATGTAGATCTTATACTAACACAGAAACTATACTGCATGGAAGGAGAGGCTCCCTCAGAGAACTTTCAGGCATGATATCTCCAGCTCCAGTGCAATTCACTTTAAACAAAAACCAAATGGGGGGGTGGGTCTCCTAATGGGAAATGTCCTCCCTCCATCCTGGGGCTTCCAGTATGAAAAATATCAAATCTCTAAGATAAGGACAGCTTTGCTATTTGCATTAGAAAAACAATAACCATGCGGACAGGTATACGAATAACCTTAACCAAGAATCAGCTGATGTACTCAGTGGATCATTCTCTTGATGTCCTGCAGAGAGGGTTGCTCAGAGCTAGGAGGTTGTACAGAAGAGACTCAGTACTTTCCTTAAAGGTGCAGCACATTTATAAGATACAGAACATTTTTAGGCAAGCCATTTCTTCCCCCTCCCTTGTAGAATGCCCAGAGCAATTGCTCTCTCTCAAACAATTTCTAGGCTAGACCAGGAACTCCTGAGCTGTAGACAGTTCCAGAACTGATTCAGAAATCATCCTAACTCAGCAGGTATTCTGGCTTTTGGTCTGAACTCCATTTCTTTAGTTTCCATCTATGGCAGTAGTGGAGGGCGGGGAATGCAGTCTCTCAGAGCTAGAAGACAGCTTGTGTACACACAAGACCTAGTTTCCGTTCCAGATAAGCCAATCTTCCCCATCATTGTGCCTTCCATATGAATTGTTCTGGGACTCCCTTCACCCAACCAAGGGAGGTGTGGATTGTGAATGATGGGAGTTGTAGACTGATTCACTGGAAGATGCCAGATTTGGGAAGGCTAAGCTAACGGATATCCAGTGCCGCTCCTTGAAAAGCTGCTGCTACTCAGAGTGCAAGGTGTGACTTGCTGTACAGCAATTCCTTGTGTAGATTAAAAGAGCTCAGGTAGCAGTAAACACTTATTCCACTCACATGTAGCCTACTTCATCAGCCATGGGTTCAAAGGCTCAAGGCTTTTTGTGCAGCCCCCTGCCCCTACATCAACTGCTGCTGGTGCTATTCAAAAATAAATTTCACTTAGTAATTTTATGGGTGGCTAATATGCAAGAGGATGGAACAAGTGGGGGTAAAGAACCCACATAAGATAAAAAAGAGATGGGGTTTAAGACAAATGTCATCTTTACTTGGACACACTGATTTTTTTTTGCTTGGACCATACCCCCTTTCCCTAGGTCCTGCCTATATGGAAGCCTCAACTCAAACAGAGCTTAACCATTATAAAAAAGTCTTTGTGAGTAGTTGGAATTCAGTGGCTATCTTTGACAACTTGGCTAACCCAAACAGTTGCTGCCCCTGGGGAAATATTTAGCCCCATGTCCTGGTAATGCATGATTGCAGATGCACCAGTCAGACAGGCAAAGGTCATTTGGAGGCTATTATTATTTGGAGCGCCTTTGTTTTTTTCTCCTGCAACATAAAAAAAAAAAACCCTGCAAAATTGGAAAGCAAGACAAAGTTGCTAGAGCAGCCTTGTTTTTGCAGGGTTGTTCTAGGACTTCATTTCTGTGCCAGCAGCCAGATTTCAGGGTTAACTCTCCATTGTCTCTCTTATGTCTGTGATACTCCAACCATCCCCCTTGCAATGAAGCCTGAAGGTTCATTGCAGGAGATAAAAATTAATTTAGCTGGCTGACTTAATGACTTTCTCAGGGTATCAAGGAGAGCTAGTTTGGTCCAGTGGTTAAGGTGCTGGACTAGGTGTGGGGAATTGTCATTACCTTAAGCACAGAAATCATCTGGATGACTTTGGGCCAATCGCTGTCTCTCAACCTAGGAAGAAGGCGATGGGAAATCATTTCCAAAAATGTTGCCAAGAAAAACTGCACTGATTTGTCCATGTACAGTAGTCACCAGCAGTCAAGATTGTCCCAAAGGCATTGAAAAAAAAAAGTTATGTCAGGAGATTCAGCCAACTGGTGGCAGTCTATGATAGTTATTTTACAAGGGAACACTTTGACGGAGGAGTCTGCCAGGGAGGCTTTGAATTATGCCATGCCTAACCATTCTGACCCAACAGCTGATTTGGTTTAGCTCTTCACACATGTTTAACCTGGTTAAATGTCTTGCAAACAAGTTCAGTGAAGTTACATTAGACTGCAGCCAGTAAGTTAATTCCCGGCAAGTCTAGCACGGACATGGCAACTCCCTTCTCATGTATAGACCCAGTAGGTCTTTTCCAGGTTAACTATGATGAAGCAGCCATATGCGCATCCTGCATGAATGAGCAAAGTCCACTCTTTAACCTTACTAAGAGAAAAATCAAGACAAGAATGGGAGAAGCAGTGAAAAGTTACTTTCCAATCATTTAGCTTTACTTAGACATTTCATCTCCTCCTCTTTCCCTCCATGTCTCCATGTTTTGAGGGGGAATGCCTGGAACAGGGATTTCATTGTATTCACATAGACTTCCTCCCTTCATTTAATGCATCTGGAGGGTATCATTTGGAGGAAGATTGATCAGACTCGCAGTGGAATACTGTACAGTATGTAGGCAATGAGCTGTACTTGGCTAGGTGGGTCACAGGTTGCTCAAACCGTGATGCAGCTTCAAAACCGGGACAGGGTATTTTTCTGGCACTCCTATGCACTGACATAGACCTTTTCATCTATTGACTACAGAATGCCAAAGGCGATGCTTCGCTTGCACTATATTCCATTGGTGTTTTAAAAAAATCTTCCCTGTCATCAGAAATGTCTGCTGGGGTAGGTTAGCATATTATGAATATATGCTGACAAGAAGAGCTGATAAAATGGAACATTACTGAGGCCTACAGTATTCGATTTTTGCCTTCTGCCTATCCATTTTATCTCTCCATCTTTATGTATATTTAGGGTGTTCAGAAACTCATTTAATCTCTCCTCTCTCTCTCTTATCCTCCATCTTATTAGTCTGTTTATCTGCCTCTCTCCTCTCTCCCATTCTCCTTACTCTGCTGTTTCCATCCATCAACCCTCGGTTCTTTTCCATTAGTCCTTGCACAATCTCCTTTCTCTTTCTTTCTTTTTTCCCCCCTGAACACCCATCCTCATGAAACCTTTCTCCAGATTCCCACCCCCTCCACTCTGCCTTCTTATGATCCATTCTCTCTCCCTGAACAAAAGGAGCTCTCCTCTTCTCCTTCCATACTGAGAAAGCATTGCAGGGCAAATTCTCCATAGGCCGACTTGGGGTGTACTCTTCCTTTATTCTAATTTAAGGATACACTAATTTCTATTTCTCTTTGTACCCCTCTCCCCCACCCCCATTTTAATAGTCGTTGCGAAAGGATGCTTCACTAATTGCTTATCCACTTACACATAGCACATTCCTCCAACAAGTTGGACTGAAGGATGATACAGACAAATAAATACAGGGCTTCGTTGCCTCTTTCCTTTTCTCCGGTCTTTTTTGCAGTCTGCACTATAGTCCTTGGGGAAAGGACATTTTGCCGGGGGTGGGGGGGGGAGGGAGAAGGAAACCAATTTACACTTTTTTTTTTTTTTTTGCTAATGCATGCTCTTTCTCTTGTTCTTTCTTCAGCCACAAGTCACATTGGGGCTTGCATGCAGCTGCCTCCTCCTTGCCTATAGTACTACCCAGGTGAAGAGAGGAGGCCTGGCCTCTGTTGCCAGAGAAGATGGCCTCAACCCCAGCCTGTCTGCTGATGCTCTGGCCACTGGTTCTGATTCTCTGTGATCCAGCAGATTCCATCAAGTTTCCTGAAGGCTGTGAGTAGCAAAGGCATTGCCTCTTCTTCTACATGTGTTTTAAAATGGGAAGGGTGGGATCTCTCCCTGAACATAGCTTTCGCAAACAGGAGGCTCTGTGAGGCATTCTGGCTATCTTTTGTTAGTTTTGGACTCATGAAACAGCACACTTATGTTCTGGAGATATATGATTTGCAGGCGTATGGGTTTTTCTTCTTCAATGTTTTATTAGAGTTACAGAGTGTTTAAGGCACCTCTCTCTGTTTTCTTGATTGAATTAATATTCTGCTGCTTGCTTGAGAGTTCAAGATGACACCCACAGAAAGAAATCTCACCAGTTTTATCCCCAAACAACTCTGTGAGATAGGTTGGACTGAGAGAGAAAGGCAGAGAGAGTGAATTGCTCAAAGCTACCCAAGGAGATCCATAGTTAAGAGGGAGACTACTCCCCAATCACTACAGTGCACTGTCTTTTCTTGTGTATTATTTATGTTATTAACTTTTCTAGTAATGTCCCACATCTTAGTCTGTTTATCTATCTCCTCCTGACACGTTGCTTATGCAAGTGGGAGCAATACCATCAGAAGTCTAGGAGAGAGGACCTCCTTGGGTTAACAACTCATACTGCCACCCTAACAGGACCAAAAAAAAAAAAGAAGCAGCAGCAGCATATTAAGGCAGATGTTGATCAGTACAACTGGGTGATTCTGCATGGCTTATGAAAAGAAGAAAGATAAAAGGGGAAATAAGAATGACTAAGTCCAACTTTAAAGAGACACTTCTGCACCCACTTGCTGCATCTCAGCTTTATGGTATCATTTCTACACACAGTGCCATCATTTGGTGAACTTCTTACTAGTCATGTGCATTTCTTCTACGTTCTTTGATATTTTCAGCATGCAAACAATTTCATAGTTCTTCCTCCTGACATTCTCATAACACTCAGATGGATTGGTCACAATACCATTTAAAGGCAGACACATAGTTCTAATAGATAATGGATACAAGTCATCTACGGTATTAGTAGTAGAAGTTACACTTTTATCTTCTAGATTCATATGTACATGTACATGTGTATATATAATCACATTATTCACTTTGGGCTAAGCACTGTTATGCAAAGAACAAACAATGTAGTAACTAAATGTAATTTACACCAATACCGTTTACTATACTCCGTAATTTTCTGTCCTTCAAAACTATCTTTGCTTCTACCATATTCATTCACTGATTCACACATTGTCTTTTTTTTTTTAATTCTTACCCCTCTCTTTTTGATAATCTTATCAACTCCATCCATCTATAGCTTTCCTCTCAGCCCATTTGCTCTTCATATATTTGTTTTGCAATCCAAACCTCACTCATTCTCTCTGTATGACTAAAACACCTAAATGTGTTTTTTAGGTGCTGGAGACTTTGTTTTGTATTCAGTCCACATTCATTCAGGACCACTTTTTCTTTATTCTATATAATCAGACAATCCATATTATATGGATTATTTTTATATAACATGAATCACATTCTAGATTGAAATCCAGAAATCTGTTTACCAGATCACATTGCAATGGTAGTTACTCCACTAAACTGCACTACTGTACTTTATGCTTAACACAATTTGTCAAATATAGAAGTTATAAATCTTACCTTCTTGTCCTCTGCATACTGATTTCAATTGTATTTTTGAATCTTGTTTGTTCCTCGCAACAAGTTTTTAAGGCAGGTTAGTTTTCAGTACCAAGGACAGCACATAGAGACCAGGAAGCAGGTACTGTATTGTCTTTTAATACCAGGGAGAGCATTCAAGGTTAGCCTCTGCTGCTCCCACGTATATCGTCCCTTCATGAGGTTTTATCTTGCAGTGGTACACCTAATAAGCATGAATTGTTAGTCCTGACCAATAAGTGAAAGTGTAGGTTAGAGCAGAGGAGAACAATGGAAAAAAGAGGTCCCTGATTTTTTTTTTTTTTAATCACTAAGTCTGTAGAACAAACTAGTCCTTCCTGTTCTGGCAACATCCCTGTTAGACATTGCTCATACTCTTGGATGTAAAAGTGGGAGATACATTGGATTTTCATTTAATTCCAAAGAGATGTGGGTAAAGTTTAGGAGGGCTAAACTATCTCTACTCAATGTAAGTTGGAATCTAACCATCTGGAGGTTCTGAAAGTCTGGCTCAGTGTAAAGAAGGAACATGTGTGCTTCTAGATAAAAATTATGCTAGAAGCCGGTGCTTTACTTTGTAGCATGTCAGCTTCATGAGGATGAGGATGATTGTATCAAAGGAATCTTTAAAAAATCCAGTGGGGCAGGGAGTCTGATAAGAGCCAAGTGAGATGTCCATGAGCACTGTATTGCTTACCCTTGATTTAAGCCAATCTCTTTTGTTTTTGAAGTTTTTGAACAGGATATGAAGGTCCAAGGTGAAGCCAGTCTGAGGGATCTTTAGTGTCAGGGAATTCTGTGCTGAGGTTATGAATACTGAAAAGTCTCTTCCTTCATGGTGTTAGCCTGATTTTTTTACTCGGTGCAAGGCTTTAGAAGTGGACTTGAACATATGAGAAAATTCATATGTAGGTGTTAGGTTTTATGCATTTGTGGTGACAAAATTTTGGTGACACCTATCTCTGCTATGTAAATTTTTTGGACAAATCCTAATGGCTACATTTTTGAGATACTAATTGTTACTGACAGTGGCCAGGAATCAAGATAGGGGACAATGTCTAATCCAGAATGATTAATGGAAACCACAATAGTATGATAGTTAAATTATGATTTAAAAAAAAAACACTAAAAGAAGAAATAGATATTCTGGTCCATTCTTGATTTTAGATTGCTCTTGTAGCTCAGTAAATAATAAATTGCAAGACTGGGGGACAGAGAGAAATTTTAATTCGCCTATGATGGCTATAGCCCCCAAAGAACCCCAAGATGGCAGTGCAGAAATTCGGTAGAAAAATGTCCCATTTTTGGCATGAAATTGCCAAAAGAAAGCTGGATATGGCTGGATTTATAAGCAGACTCATAAAATAAAGCTCCTATTTTATGAGTTTGGTTGCTTAGCCATACTTTTGAATGGCTGCACTGATACACAGTTCTAAGCTATAAACCAAGGTTTATAGGCTAGTGGCTAGATTCACACAATACACTAAATTATAAACAAATTACATTATAATTTAGTTGTGATGTGTGAACTCAGTCGTTGATTTTTGCTGGCACAGATATGTAGGTTTTCAGCTCCCATAATCCCTAGCCAGTGCAGCAGGCACCAGTTTTGGGAAAAACTGTACTGATACTTCAAACCCTAAAATGTTCGTGTGTTGGATTCAGAACAAAACAAAACATTGCAAAATATGATGCTCTTGAACAAAAATGAAATTTGCCAAATTGAGATTAATTTCCATAATACAGTATTTAAATACAATTTCAGGAATATGTAAAATATTCTTATTGTAAAAATTGTTTCAAATAACCTAATGACCAACTGAGAAGGGAAAGAGACAGCACTCTTTCTGTTTAGCCCATAAACTGAATTGCTTGTGGGTCTCTTAGCATCGCTACATTGGTTACAGACACCCACAGTTTAGAATATTCAGTCTCTGATTCAGTGCATATGCAATATAATCCTCTTTATTAGAAGTATGTCCCACTATAAATTATAGTGCATTAACTTTATTTTTTTCACATTTCATAAACTGTATGCAAAGTAGGTTTTCCCCAAAGCCAACACATTTCTATTAAAGTTTAGCTATTGATAATAGATACAGTATAATATTTTGAGGTCCATTCTCCAGTCTTTTCAGAAATCAAATGAAAATCACTTCTAATTCTAAATAATGATTGATTCCCTAATAAACTCAAGAACTTTCTTCCATTTCCCATTTTTATTTTATATAGAGCTATGAGACTTGCCTTGGGCTCCAACAGCGTTCTGGAATCATGTTATGGTTTGCATATCTTAGTTTAGAGGATATGAACTCTTTCTCTCATAATCTCATAAAACTTCACCTTTCTATTTAGGTTTCTTATTATTGTCCCATCCACCACCTCCCCTCACTCTCTGTGTTTGTGTGCTTTGCTCTTCTCCTCTCCCCTTATGTCTGGATGAGTAGGCAAGGAGTTCCCTAGAGGCCCTTTCCCTCCGCTAATTGGATTGGAGCCTCTTTCCAACCTGTCGCTGACTCAACCAAACACTTGAATCAGTTCAGCTTGTTAAATTAAGGGGGTTGCGGAAGCTAGCTGAACGTTTGGCCTCATCCATGGTACATTCGATCTGTAAGGAAGTGAAAAGACACCGGCATAGGAAATGTCTTTCTTCACATGGCCAATCCACAATAAGACTGCCAGGTTATAAACCATTTCTTGCAAGTGCGTTGTGATCTGCAGACATTCATAAGCAATAGTGTTTATTTCCCTGCTGTGAAAAGGTCACCTGCTGTTTTCTATATTGTCATTGCTGTTAAGGATACCATTTCAGAACTCTTTCCTCCCCAGGCCACTGGCAATCCTATATGATACACAACCGGCTAGCCACCTGCACACTCAGATGGCCCTGTAGGAAACAGTCCATTGTGCCTAGAAATGTCAGGCAACTTTTCTTATAAGGAACCCAATGAAAATGTAGCACTTCATGTCAAGGGAAGCTGCACCATCTCATTGTGCTGATTGGGCAATGAAATAAAGAGAATAGGTCATAGTTTATAGCAAAGCCCACCTGCTTTGCATACAGAATATCCTAAACTGAGACCTTGGCATCACCAGGTAAGGCTACAAAACTGTGTGTCCTAATATCCTGATTGGTCCAATTGAGTTGGACCAATTAAATGATTCAGTCAAAGGCATTTCTTAGGATGATTGTCCCATTAGTCATTTTGCTAAATCTGGTACTTTGTGTGTGTGTGTGTGTGTGTGTGAAGTGTGCAAAATGTTTCAAATGTAAAATATTTTGAACTTGAACTGGGCTGATCCAACACTGCTTTGACACTGTTCCAATCTCACCAGGAGCTGTGTCAGCTTGAAACGGGCGTTCCAAATATGAAATGTGTTGCTCTAAACTTGGGACACTTCTGGTAGTACTTCCTGTGGGGATGGAATAGCCTGTTTTGAACGTCTCTTGCATATCAGTATAGATTTGTGGAGCTGGATGTTATGTTATGAAGGAGCATCACCATCATGTCTTCTCTAAACGTCCATATGCATGCGTGCCCACACCACTTCCACCTAAAGTTATACCTGTACTGTTATTATATTTTCCATCTGCATTCTTTTGTTCTGCGCTACAGTATAAAGCTGGAAGGCTTCAAAATTGTATCATATGTCTCAAAGCAGGTGCCTCTTTAAAGCAGCTCCTTCTACACTCCCACATATTTGTCCATACTCTCTGCATTACAGTATATTCTAGAATACAACTGCCAATTCAGAGAGCAAAGGAAACTCTGAATTGAACTGGCTATTGAAGGGAAATGTGTCGTACATTTCATAGTACGTTGAAAAAACATATCCCCATTCCTTTTGTTTGAGTCTTCAGGTAACATTTGATGGGAGTACAAGTTTGTTTAGCTCAATAGAGAGCTAGTTTGGTCTAGTGGTTAAGACAGCAGGCTAGAAACCAGGAGATGGTGAGTCCTAGTCCCGCCTTAGGCACGAAAGCCGGGTGGGTGACTTTGGGCCAGTCATTCTCTCTCAGCCCAACTCACCTCACAGGCTTGTTGTTGTGGGGAAAATAGGAGGAGGAAGGAGTATGAGGTTTGTTCACCGCCTTGAGTTATTTATAAAACCTATAAAGGCAGGATTAAAAAAAATCTAAATCTAATCTAAATAACTTTTCTCTTAGAAGTACTGAATGCCATATCAAGAGGTATGACTTTTCCAAGTAGTGAGTAGTCTGAGGTAATCTCCAGAGACCAGCATTTGCCAACTTGATCTCTTCTCCAGATGTGCCAGGCTTCATTACAAACTGAGTCATCATAATCAATGAGAGTTAAAGAAGTCCAAATGTCTGGAGAGGTTGGGAAGTCTATTATGAGGGATAATTTTCTTTAGAACTGAGACTATGGTGTTTTCCTAATTTTTTTTTTTAACTGACAAGTATGTGTTAAGAGGAGATAGGAGATGGGAGAAGCATGTAGGCAGTAAAAATCTAGTTTCCCCCATCCCCAATTTGCTGTTTTCCAGATTTCTTATTAATGAAAAAAGCATGAGAAGGAAACAAAGCAACAAAACAAATAGACAGACAAAATTAACCCTTCCCTCAACAACAGCAGGAACAAAAAACCACATTAGTTTCACCCTGGGAGTTGGGCATGGCTTTAGAACAAACAGAACCAAACATTACTCAAACATCTCTTGCTTGCCATCAGCATCTAGGTTATACAAAGGCAAGAGAAAGTGATTTTTCCCCTGTTGATGTATACTCCAAGCCCTGTACTTTATTGGATGAGTTTCCTGCAGCTGTTCTGCTTTCAAACGCAGATTTTTACTCACTCTGCTCTTCTACAGAAGCACTATTTGCACACTGCCTTGCTTTGAATTCTCTAATGGTGCAGAAGAACACAACTATCTCATTCACTGAATATGGCATGCTAACATCCAACTCTCTTTCCCACTCACGCTCACTTGCACCTGATCATCTCACATATGGATTCTGTCTTGCACACTTGTGCTTCCTACTTAAAATGTGCTCATATGACTGATCATGCTGTGGCTATGAATTTTTCTTCTTCTCAGTCTTGCTTTCACAAATTGCATGCTTATATTTTTCTTGAGGCACAGGAATGGCAGAATGGTCACTAATAAGCACTTCTCTTTTTTCTTTTGTTGTTTTCTTGCTGACGCAGTTGACCGGACAAACTGTGAGTCCTCCATGAAATGGGTGATGGTGATGATAATGATTGGGCTGGGATGGGAGAGGAGCCAAGCACAGTCAGTGATTGCTTTGCTGATCTAAATAGCATAGTACTTTTATTACCCTTGTGCAATGTAAAGTTATAACATCATTCCTGGGTAGGGTGAGGTCTTCAAAGTATGGGACCAATGGTCCCTTTAAGTGTTGGAATTTTTGATTGCTCACTTTCCTCCCCACTTCTTTGTTTCTTAGTGCCACAACCACCTGAATTCACAACACAACCTGAGAAAGAGATTGTTTTGTATCCCATTGATGAGGTTGTCCTGAAATGGGAGGCTACTGGGAATCCCTCAGTGACGTGAGTATGGACGAGGTTCAGTATTGTTTCCCTTACCCCAGTTCCATTCTGAATGGGAAATTTTAAGTGGAAATTTTCTTCTTAGGATCTTAGGACAATGCTGTCCATATCTCTGACAGCTAAAGGCCAAACCACATCTTTCCTTGCTTTTATTTGTTGAAAAACAGACATATTTTTGTGTTGTGGCAGGGCAAGAAGGAATTGATCTGGAGAAACAGATTTAACTATTTTTTCTTAAGCAGTTTCTCTGGTTCTTTGGTTTCTCTGGTTAAAATTGCTTCTTTTTTCAAGACAGGTATTTGACCTATAATAACAGCAGCTTTATTGTGGGGAGGGGATTTAGGTTGGGCCACAGTTTGAATAAAAAAAGGTTAACGACCCTTCCCCAGTGCTATGGCCATAATTTAATTTAACATTCCCTCCCCTCCCACACCCCTTCTAAATGAAGAAAAAGGCATCAGGAGATCTAATCATTTATCTCCCAAGTCAATATAGTTTGGCCTGGAGACACTTTTTTCTTCTGAATTACAATGGAAGCCCTTTCCCTTAAAATGGGAAAGGCTATTGTCAGAGAGACCAACCCCAACTTGGTGCCCTCCAAATGTGCTGGATTATGGGGATTACATAAATTTATTTAGCAACCTAGAGAAGGCTGATGTCAGAGTAAGAGGCACCTTCTTGTAGAGGTCACTGACTGAAGTGCATATAGTCACAGAGAGTACAGATAAATGCAAAACCAGAAGCAGTGATGGCTGATGAAAAGAAAGAAAGTGGATTATTTTTAATATATGTTGCACTGGAGAGCAGGGTAAAGATTGGGCTATGAATCATTCAAAGTCCCTGTTTCAAATTGCAGGTTTATCTTGAACTAAATGAGCATTAGGGATGTATGGATCTCCAGATGTTGCTGATACACACTTCCCAGAAGTCTCAGCCAGTATGGCAGAGATGAGGAATGGTGGAATTGTAGTTAAAGTTCAGCAACACCAAGACTAGTAGTATAGTATTGTTATTCAGTATGTACTGATATATAATCAGCCTCTCTTCAGTTGTTTCTACTTGTCCAATTAGGTCTCATAGGTGGGGCATGCTCTGGGTCCCTTCAGTTAAAGAATGTTATTTTATGGAACCTTGGAAATATACCTTCTCTGTTGCAGTACCTGCTTTCTGGAACACCATACCCCCCCGAGATCAGATTGGCCCCAACATTACTGGCCTTCTGAATGTGCTCCAGGGCCTGGGGGGTAAAGAGGCTAGATGGCCCATTGAGAGTTTTTTGTCAGTTGTTTTGTTTGGATTCACCCGTGGTGACCATTGTAGGTTTTTATCTTCTGTTAATTTTCTAAAAATTGTTTTCACATGTCGTTAGCTGCTCAGAGTCACATTCATAAGATGGGCGGCCATTTCAATCAATCAGTCAAATAAATAAGCACAGTAGAAGACCTATTTTCCTCCATTGCAACCACCCTTTGAAATATTTATCTAACAAATCAACCCAGAGTTCTCACTTGAGGCACAAGTGACCGGGCTCAAATTATATTATTTTGGACACATTATGTGAAGACCCAGCTCTCTGGAAAAGGCTCTGATGCTGGGAAAGGTGGAAGAAAAGAGAAGAAGAGGATGACCAGCAGCAAGGTGGATGGACTGAGTTACAGTGGCAACGGCTGAACTGTTGGAAGACCTGAAGGACCAAGTTAGGGACAGATTGCATGGGGAAAAAAATCTACCTATGTGATCACTAAGAGTCAGCACTGACTTGTTGGCACATAATCAATCAATCAATTGAGGTAATTGGCCTGAGAGAGAGTGACTGACCCAAAATCATCCAGTGACTTTCTGTGACTGAGGATGGACTAGGTAATCGCAGATTCTTTATCATTTTCTCCATATCTAAGAGCATGTGGACGTACAGTGTCAGCTTCACTCATCTCTAGCTTCTATATTGGGCTAAGAATACTGACTTCCTTGGAAGGACATATAAAGCATATTGAGAACAAAAAACAGTATCTAAATCAGCTGGTGTACTTTTTTCCCACCTTCAAGTCAATCTTGATTCCTAGCGACTGCCTGGACTAGTCCCTGCAGTTTTCTTGGCAAGATTTTCAGAAGCGGTTTGCCCTTGCCTCCTTTCTAGAGCTGAGAGAGAGGGACTGGCCCAAGGTCCCCCAGCTGGCTTTGTGCCTAAGGCAGGACTAGAACTCACCATTCCCAGTTTCTAGCCTGGTGCCTTAACCACTACACCAAGCTGGTTCTCAGTGTACAGTTTGGGAAGTACCAGATTTTAGTGATTTAAATGTATGAACTACCATATTTTTCATTACCCCGCTATTTACTACTCTCTTTTTCTGAGGTGGGTTGCAGTTTCTTGTGTTTTTAAAGATACAATACCAGTATAGTAACAATATGCTTCCTGAGAAGTAGTCATTCTGCTAGGAACAAATCTATATAGATTCCATCTTTTCCAGCTACAGTATAACCCTCCTCTGTTTCAAGTCTAAGTCCCAATTTTGATTCAGAGCAATCTAACAGATATTACTTACCTCCACAATATACATCTATTTGCAGAAATCCTTGAATTTTCATTGCACTTCAGAGCTCTCAATTTGGCTTTTTCTAAGATACTACGGGAACAGCCCTGAGACTGACTAATTTTAGGAAGAGATTTCAGGTATTGATATTGGACATTTTACAGTGCACAATGCTGCTAAATTCCACCCTGTTCTTAATATCTCCATTATTCCCTCCTATGCTGGAAATGTCCCTGACCTTACTTGGACCTCTGCTCCTCTCCTAATGGGTTTCTCTCTCTCTCCCCCAGTTCTCGTGCGTATCAGAGAAATAATTGTTTGCCTGCTTTTAATTCCCCTAACCTTGCATTTCCGCTGCCACCTCTCCAGTCCCACCCACCTTAATCAGTGCATACTGAAAACCAAGGTTATTTATAGATATAGACCAACCTGCCAGCCAGAGGTTATGAAAAAATAGCACAGAAACTCGGTAGGAAAATTGTATGCCCTTTCCCTTTCTCATGTGTCTTCCTTTGGGCAGATACCGCTGGACCAAGGACGGGGAACACTTTGATCCAAACCGGGTGCGAGGGATAGAACAGTGGAAAGATTCAGGGATTCTGATCTTCAATGCAAACAATGAGAATGTGCCGACCAGGCTCAATGGGCTGTATCGGTGTTACGCCAGCAACATACTGGGCACCGCCATGAGTTCTGAGAGCCACATCATTGTTGAGAGTGAGTACCCCTCTGCTCCCCCAAGGTGTCATTCCTGCTTCTCCCACCCTGTTTTATAAGTGTGCCCACCAGTTCTCTGTCTCCCTCCAGCTCTGTGTCACTTGCACACACCCATATGCACCCACACAGGATTGTTTCTCACTCCGGCTTTGCTGAGGAAACTTATTTTGGGGCCCACAATGAGGCAGCTTAGCATGTCTACACATACATACCCCCCCCACCCCAATTCTTTGAGAAATAAATTTCTTCCTCCCCCTTGCAATAAATGTCTATCCCTGGCTCTTTTTCCCCTTTACCTGCCTGGGCTCCCCGGAGTGCAGCCGGTTGCTCCTGTTCCCATGGATACAGTTGTCATGGTTTCATGGTATCATGTGATGTAATTGCCAGCCCCTCCTCCTCCTCCCCTCTTTCTCTCCATCTCAGCCTTGCTTTCCTCACGTCTGTCAAGGAAGAAGGGAAGATTTAAAAGCTGGAGGGATAGAGGAAAGGAGACACCCACTGATACCAGAAAGGATTTTTTTTTTTCAGCACTAATGAAGAAAATCCTCTCTCAGCTCAAAAATTAGAGCGATCCTTTATTTTTAATCTCAAAATAAATCTTCCTGTTCTTAATAATAACAGTGCTATGGCTTATGCTATTGAGGATGTTGTATTAATAAAGATTTCAGAAGTCAACCATGAGTTAAGAAGTCCTTGGCTCAAGTTGCATCTCAACAAGAAACTCATTAATGTATAAATGATTACTAGTTCTCCAAGGCAGCAGATGGGTTGGTAAACTGTCTCTGCTTTAATTGGTTGAGTATAGCAAAGCATCTCCACTCACTGAGTAATGATCAAAAACCTGTTAAAAATACATTTTTCCTGAGGGACGGTGAATAACTGGATACGTTAAGAATCTAGCCCAGAGGACTATGCATACAATTTCTCTCAATGTACAGTAGTCTTTTTTTCTCCCTGGCAATTCCCCTCCACCCCCCTTCTATTCATTAATTGCTTCACTTCCTGCTTTATTGCCTTCCAGATGCACAGTGGCGAAAGGAGGAGGTGGCACCCATCACAGCAGAAGAAGGGACCCACACAGTCTTGCCCTGCAACCCACCCACCAGTGCAGATCCGCCTAAAATCTATTGGCTCAACAGCAGTGAGTATTAGAGACTGTCCTTTCCGAGGACTGTGGATTTGATTGTGACAGATCTAACCAAAATCCAGAGACTGATTACCTTTCTCACAGAACCAGAGGAGCTGGCAGTAAGCTTGGTACTTTGGATGAATGGTAAGAGAGTCCCGTCAGAAGTGAAGGGACCTGGATGGATGGATGGATGGATGGATGGATGGATGGATGGATGGATGGATAGCAAATGGTGGCAGGGTAGGTGAGGAAGGGAGAATTGTAATACTGGCACACATGTTTTGCAGATACGTGATCCCAGGTACGTCTTTGATCGTGCCATTCAAGAAAGATACTGAACTCTTACAGATAATCTGATTAAATATATAGAATCAAGTAAATGGTTGCTTATGAAAATATAGCCAAATTCACTATGTATGGTGTTTTGCTTGGAACTGGCTGCTGGATCGTTTCAGATCATATTACATGCCAACTGGGAAGAATGTATGGGAAAGCAAGAGAAAGGAAAGGGCTTTCTGTAAACTTCTCAGAGATACCTAATTGGGTTTTGTTGAAAAGAGAAGGTTTGGCTGCAAAGAACCTGAGTCCAGTCCTCCACTCTCAGGGATAAATTTACACTATGAATGTCCCAAAACTCTGGAACCTGTTTTGGAAGTGACAGTCCATTTCTGAAACACAGTAAAGAAGAAAGTTCCTCTACTGTGACCACCTCCTCCAAAATCTCCACATGAAGGTGATCATTATGACTTAAAAGGAACAGACTAAGTTTGCTTTCTTTCCCCTCAGGGATGCTTGGGCCAAGAAGCAAAGTGGTTTGGCATTCAGCTGTCGTACGATAACTCCTTCTCCTTCACTGTGCCTCATTGCTGCTTCTCCTTCACCTCTCTCTTCCTGCAGGGATTGAGCACATCACCCAAGATGAACGAGTCACTGTGGGCCAGGATGGAAACCTCTACTTTGCCAATGTACAGATGAAGGACAGTCGACCTGACTATATCTGCAATGCCCACTTCCAGGGCCCCCGACTCATTATCCAGAAAGAACCTATTGAACTAAAAGTCATCCCCAGTAAGTCTTCAGGACACCCTGTGTTGAGGTGCTCCGTGTTGTGGTGTGAGGAAGCAGCTGGCTACTGCAGGAAGATACCAGCCACATTTTTTATCCTGGCCTTCTGCCCATCCAGCTTAATTTATGGTCTTAACATATGAACTGAGAAGATATGAACTTCTTGGTTACTAAGCTGGGATTGTGGAAATGTGCAGTATTACGGAATGAATTCTTGCCTGGGTTTTGCTGTAGGTTATCAGTCATTTGCTTCAATTTTAGTATTTCGATTTTCCCCAGTTGTTGCCCTCCAGCTTCCATGAAGTTAAAGTCTAAGCATCTAATGGATAACAGATCGAGTAAGACTGCAGCATTTGATCCCCAATAATGTTCTTTGGTATTTCCCGCTTAGTACCTGATGGCCAGTATTTGCCCAGTGTTGCTGTTCATTGAATCATAGAGCTGGAAGGGCCCATCTGGGCTATTGGTTCACTGATCAGTGCCAGCATCCAAATGAAAGTATCTCCATTTAATAGTTGTCCAACTTCTGATTGAACACATCCAGTAAAGGAGTACTCTCCTGATAATTAGTTCCATTATCAAAGAGCTCTTACCATTAGGAATTTTCACATAACATTGAACCAAAATCTGCCTTCCTCTAATTGAAAGACTGTTATTCTGTGTCCTGCATTATCTTCCTCAAGGACATATTAGTCAAAATGCATCTGATCAATGCAGAATAAGGTAGAACATTAAAAAAAAAAAATTAAATTTGGAAAACTGCTTTTAATATTTGGCAGTAAAAATCAATTGCTTCCTGCCTAGAGGGCTTAGAGATAAGTGGCTCAAACATGTAGAGACAGGGTTTGTGAGATAATCAGTGATGAGACTATGGAAATTGAGAGATATGTTCATACAAAGTTTAAAACCTCTGAGGGTAGAGAGCATGTCAGTGGCTCCACTAATTTACAAGGAGAGGCAGTCTGACTCACACTCCTTCACAAAGCCTTCCTCCACCTCATGCTTTCCAAATTAAGTTGTGACCCAGCCATTAGCTATCCCCTTGGATATGTCTTCCTCTTTTATGTTCACAACAGCTTGGTGAGAGAAGGGCGTTGTAGCAGTGGATTATAGAAGGATATTCTTTATTCTTTATTATCATTACATAATGCTCAGAAACTTACCTGAGTTTCTTTACTATCTTTAGTAAAGATATCTATCTTATCTGATATCTTTACTATCTCTGGTAAATCGCATAATTTACCAGAGATAGCAAGAAACTACACCACAGATGAAGACTTAGAGAAGTGACACAGAACCTTTTTGTATGTTCCTAGTAAGGATAGAGACAGTATTGCACAGTAGTTAGGTTGGTGAATATAACTGGGGATCAAGTCTTCAAGGCTCATTGGGGGGACTTTCAGCTGGTCTCTTATCTCTCTGCCTAATATACCTCACCAAGCTGTCGTGAACGTAAAAGAGGAAGACATATCCAAGGGGATAGCTAATGGCTGGGTCACAATTTAATTTGGAAAGCATGAGATGGAGGAAGGCTTTGTGAAGGAGTGTGAGTCAGATTGCCTCTCCTTGTAAATTAGTGGAGCCACCAACATGCTCTTTATTTTCAGAATATGAATATAAAGTCAGCCAAAAGCCAAAAGTTCAGCAACTTGTGTTGGCCTAGGCCATCTGTGCAGGTTTCTGCTGCTGTCTGGTCTTTTAGTGACCAGTAATTCTTTTCTTCTTTCTCTTCCACAGCCAACACTTTCTCCCACCAGAAACCAATTCTAATTGTGCCAGACAGCACGCGCAAGAGCTATGTGGCCCTGTTGGGAAAGCCCTTGGTACTGGAATGCATTGCAGCAGGACTGTAAGTACTTGGAAATACCTGCCATCAAAAAAAAAATATATTGCTGTAAAGATCTCAGGCAGTGCGATCCTATATCTTTCTAATGCCACGTGAGTCCTCTTGAGTTCAGAAAGGCTTCCTTGCAGAGAGAGAGAAATGGGGAGGTTGAATATTCAAAGGAAAGAAAAAGAATGTTAGCCAAACATAGTGCATGATTCGAAAGATCATTGGCTAAATCCATACACGGATCAAGTATATCTGATTTATTCCAAATGTGGATTGGTTCAAATGGTAGTTGCTTCTTTCACAGATGTCTTCTGGCAGTGGCTTCCACAGAGCAAAGATGACTCACGTGGAAAGGGTCACTTCCTCTCAGAGAGGAGGATCTGCTGGATCTCCTTCTCGGTGTGGTGGCAGTAATTTTGTAAAATATAATTGTTACTTAGGGGACTTATGACAAAAAGTACAATGTAACATCCACTGTCTTTAGAAAGTGTGATGCACATTTTTTTCCCTAAGGAAGAAATGGGAGGGGTACTTTTTGATGGCCAATTTTTGGTACTTGCCCGCTTCTGGTGAGGGGTGTTTTTTAGATCAACATTTCTGACTTTAAACACACACGGATTCTTTGTTCCTGCAGATTTGATGGAAGGTTTTTTTTTTTTAAAGGAAACCAGTCTTTCTTTCCCACAAATCCCTTAAGGGAAACAAGATCAGTGGCTCTACCCCATCATCCCTGACATTTTGCCTTTTCTCTGGTCAGTTTCACAACCTGCTCTTCACAAGGAGACCTCATCTTGTCAACTTCATAACCACCTTGGTTTTAGCAGCTGGCATCACAGCAGCCCTACTGAGACAAATTCTAATTTCCTCACGCAGGCCTTAAACATCACAACTCTGAAATACCTTGCATTCAACAGCGCAGAAAAGCTAACACTGTCCAAAAGCCTCAGCTACACAGGGATGTTCACAGGGGGTTAAAAAAGTCAGGATGCCAGCAAGAACCATGCAATCAAAGCCTACCCCAGGTGCATCTTGCCACCTTGACTTTTTTAAGCCCCTCCTTGTGGACACCCATGCCCCACCATAAAATCAGGAAGGTAAAAGGAAAGGTTGGGGGAAAGAATAACCTGAGGAAGACAGCTGGGAACATGCATTGGATGTTCTGCAAGTGAGGCAGCTGGGTACACCTTTTGTGCTATGATAACAAAAACGTTATGGCCAATTTGAGAAGTGCGTATCCTGATTTCAGTAGCTGGTTCTAATGTGATCCCTAATGCAATCCCATCCTCTTGTGAACAGACCGGTAGGTCGGAGGGGTGTGTGTCTGCATGCGTGTTTGAAAGGGAATGAATATGTTTTAAGGGGTTGTGACTGCTGACTCCTAGTTGTTGAGGGGGAAAAGACAGAGCCTGGGATTTAGTTTTTGCTACTTACTGGTTTGGTGAGGCAGTGGAAATCTCTAGTCCAAGATCAGTCCTCTTTTTCCTTTTTGACTGCATAAAAATCACCCCATCATTTGAGCGGGCTTGGAAGTAGGAAAGAAACACATATTTAAAAACCAAAATACATCAGTGGTAATTAGAAAAACATCTTGTTCGTCTGCTTCTCCAGGGACACTCAGCTCCTCCTGCCATTCAGCTGCTGGTTTGATGATGAGAAGGAAAACATCAGCAGAGAAGTGGAATGATGCCCTTTGATTACATGCTTAGTAGTGGTTTAATTAACTGTGCTGTTAGGTAGCAACAAACAAACAATAAAGAGCGGATTGAGGAGGCACAAACAGCTTGGTGTCTTGCTGAGACAGTTTGCAAGCCAATCCCTGCTCTATGTAGCTCACATTTCTCTAGGCAAAACTACCTCACAGGTTTGTTGTGAAGATAAAACGAATCTGGTAGGAGGTGAGCTTGGTGGGCTGAGCATCTGATGGATCCTCTAGTTCTCCATCATAACCCCAGATGCATTTAAATCAATGAGATCATTTAATCATGGCCTAAATCAGCTTTCACTAATCTGGCACCTTCCAGATGTGTTGGACCACAACTCTTGTCATCCCCAGACAATGAATCCATAGGGATGTAGGTGATGGGCTTTGGAATCCAAGAAATTCAAAGAGTGCTAGGTTGGGGAAGACTGACTTAAGTCTCACTGATATCAGTAGCACTACTCTCTTGATCCAGATGTGTCCTGTTAGTTCTAAAGAAAAAATAATTTCAAAGGTAAGAAAGGTAATTCCTTTACAAATAAATACATGTATAAACAAATTCTTTTTTTTTTTAAAGAAAATATCCACAAATCTCACAAAAAGCCTCTTCACTGAAGGGGTATTCCCCTCTGCTTTACTGTACAGGTGAAAGATGTCTCTTCTAAGATGAGTCCTCCCATCTGCCATTTTTATATGTTCTTATTTTTAAAATATTCTTAAGTAAAGTCCAACCTTTTTAGCTGAACAACATAATTTTAAGCAGTGACTTAGGCCAGTGATGTTGAATCAGATTGCCAAGAGCAGGGTTAAAAACCATTTTTATATGCATTCTTTTTCCTCTTCTTCTTCCCTTCCTCTGCAGCCCTACACCATCAGTGGAATGGATCCAGCTGAACAGATTGAACCCTTCACCTCGGGTGATCTTTGAGAACTACAATAAAACCCTTTCGATCCCAACAGTGACAGAAGATGATGATGGAGACTATCAGTGTATCGCTCATAATGAGCATGGCAGTGTCCGCCACACCTATACCGTTAACATTGAGGGTATTCCCACAGTTTTAATCCAGTGGGGTCTGATAGCATAAGAATGGGGAGAGGTTTGGGGAAGAGAGACCTCCAGAAGAATGTACCCTCCAAATAGCAAGATGCCTCTTTTGAGAAAAGATGATGGTGAGATTAGTAAATGTTACAACATAGAGATAATGTCACTCCAGATTGCTTTCTCCTGCAGCATACCATTTGATGTGACACAATTAGGTTGTGTTTCTCTCATTAATGGCATTCAGTTGTGTGCAAGAGGATCAAGTGGAATGGAGGCACAGCACCATTATGTCATGTTCTGTGATACAGGATGTTAGCAGGAAGAGAGGAAAAAAAGATAGGGATGCAACAGACATTTTTAATGCTTTGGGGAAAAAGGGAGAGAAGGAAAAGGAGTTGAATAAATGGGAAAATATGTGAATAAGGCAACTTACTTTGAAGGATGGAAATTTTAAAAATTTCTTATTAAAATTTTGTGTACCTAAAAACCACCTGTTTTTTTTTTAGCCAGTTATACTAGTCCCTCTAATTAGAACTGCATTAAATGAGGGCATGTAGTTTTCCAGTAATAAATATTTTAATTTTAGTGGCAAAGCAGCAAGATGAGAGCTGGGGAATCCAACCCATAAGTCTTAGCAGCTCAGTGCTCTATGCATGTTTGTGGTGTAAAACCAAATGTAACTAAAATACTGAGTAAAAGCCTAGAAATTAAGCTTTACCAGACATGCTAGCTATAACCCAGCCCAAAGTTAGCACTCATAAGCCCCTTTGCATTTACTTGGGCAAATTTAAGCGGATACTTTGTATCCTCTTTGAAGGCCGTTAAACTTTAAACTTCCCAACCTCAATTGAGTTGTTCCCCCCCCATAATTGAATAATAATAATTCTTATTACTCAACCATTATCTCTATATTTTGTGCTTTAGGGCTTAAGCAAAAGACAGATGATTCCCAGCAACAAACAATGACAATTATTTGAAATAGATGGAATTTCCTAGGTGAAGAAAAAGGCAGGTTCTTCCCGGTCTTGAGGAATTTATAAAAGAAGGAATAGGCCACCTTTGCCCTCCAGATGTTTTGCACAATGGCCCCCAGACCCTAATTCTTGGTTGGCATGGTGGTTCAAAAGATATAAAGCATCAAGTTGCCTATTCCTGACTGAAATATGGTCATGTGAGGTAATAAAAAGGGAGTTTGAGGACAGCTCATTATAAAGTGGGCATTGTGCTACTCTCTAGAAAAAGAGACCTGGGGAAGTCAACTTTCCTCATTGCAGTGAGCTAAATTTTTCTTAATGGTTGCTATTTTCATCTTGTCTTCTTTTCTCAGCTGCTCCATACTGGATAAAAATACCCACGAGCCAGATCTATGGACCAGGGGAGAATGTCCGCCTGGATTGTGAAGTTGATGGAAAACCCAAGCCAAAAGTGTCATGGAGCATAAACGGGACTCCTCTAAAAGGTGCATGAATGGGTGGGGGCGGGGAAAGGGGGGAAAGAGCAGAGAGGCTACAATATCACCTTTAGCCTCCCGGGCCTAAACTCTTGGCTGCATTTCAGATGTGATGCCAGATCCAAGAAGGAAGACCCAACCAGGGGCTTTAATCTTCAGCGAGGTGCAGCCCAATGATACAGCTGTTATCCAGTGCCAAGCCCACAATAAGCATGGCAGTATCTTGGCCAATGCATACATCCTCGTTGTCCGTAAGTTCATCTCTCCACTTTGAATCAAAATGGGGCTGGCCTCTGTTCAAAGGACAGGAACGTATTAGGACCAAAAACCAGCAAAGCCCTCACTATCCCAATTTTTCCATCATATCCCCATCCTTTCATTTTTCATTTTAATGTTACTCCAGCAGCTCTTTTTCCTGAAGATAGGAGTGTGAATTAAGCCAGCACTTCAGTCACCTTCCCAGTGAATGGCATACCTATAAATTATGTACAGAGGCTGTTTCTCTATACCCTTTTTGCCTCTAAACTAGTGTGAGGACAGAGCATTGGAGATAGCACCCCACTGAGGAAGGGTGGAGTCATCTTCGGGTGTTTAGGGAAGGATCTTCCGAGAAGCCTTTAACTTAAGGAAATATATTAAAAAGTGAAGGTTTGTTTAACCTCACTGGCTAATGAGAAGTACACTTATTCTTGCCTGCTGTTCTGGCCCATGAGCCCACTATCTGCGCTCACCATAGTATTAAAAGAAGAAACTGAACCTGCTGAGTAAAGAGGGTCTTTTTTATGGTTGTTTTCCATTGACTTACAGTCCCCTTCTTCTGGGGTGGTACTGTGGGTTGAAAGGACTTAGGGCTAGGTGGGGTTTCTTGAGGAGATGAGTATCCTGCCCTGCACTCATTTACCTTTTTGATTTACTGCAGGGTTGCCAGCAGAGATCCTGACCCCAGATGGTGTAGAGTATGCTGTGGTGGAGAACCAAGTAGTGATCCTACATTGCAAGACTTTTGGGGCACCCAGGCCCAAAGTGCAGTGGTATGCTTTTGGTTTTGGGCCATTTCCAGAAGGCACAGAGTACTTTGATTTGTCCATAGTTGCTCTGACATTATTTATATAGCCCACTTACATATTGATGAAGATTCTCACTCATCCATGTCTTTTCTTTTGGTATGATATGTTTCACTGCTTGGACAAGCAGCAAAATATATCAAACGAAAAGAAAAGAAGTCCAGTTGCCATGACTCAACCTCCAGATCCTACTTATATATCAAAGTTCTCTTAGTATCACTCAGTGATACTTAGTACATGCAGTCTCTTTCATTTGTACACAGAAAATCCAATGCCTCCTTGCATTTTATTAACCTCGCTCCCTCAGATAACAAACGGATGTGCAGAATGCCAGTGCCAATGGAGGAAGAAAATTGGGCCAGTGAAAAATACAAATATACTATCGGCATACTCAGGAAGTTGTAGAAATTACATGGGGGAAAGTAAAAACAAACACGCGTACACCATTGCACTATTCTCTTTTGGGATAAGCAACATGATGCAAAATACAGTAAAGGTCTAAGAAACAGTAAGTGAAAGAAATTAAAGGCAATGAAAGGCACGGCATAAGAAAAAATTATTAGGAGCTGGATTGTTTTGCAAAAGAAATCACAGCTACTCTAAGCATACTGAGAATACTGTAGAGAGATTCCGATTTGTCATACCCCCCTCTTGTTTTCATTTCCCAGGTTTATGGAAGACATGAACCCTGCCCTAAAAGATAAAAGAACTTTTATATTCACAAACGGGTCCCTGAAACTTCAGGAAGTCCAACGTGAAGATGCAGGAAACTTCACGTGCTTTGCAGAGAATGATCAGAACAATGTCTCCATCACTGCCCGCCTGGTTGTCAAAGGTGAGATCAGGTTTCCCAAGCATGCCTTAAATCAAAGAGAAGTATGATAGAACATGGTTGACCATAAGACAGAGTGAGACATGATAGGAAGAAAGTAGCCAGGGGTCAGTCAGGATGATGAGATTGGAAGACAGAGAGTCCAGTTTCTAGGTTTCTGCAGCTTAAGAGGTCATCTAAAGGCATGTGGAAAGAGGGGCCTCAGCAGAAGGAAGGAAAGTGCTGTGGCTTTCAACTAAATCCTCCAAAACTGTCTTTCTTCCATGACATTCCACTTCACAAGTGGATGTGGCAGATCATGCCACTGTTTTTCCTCTTGGTCATGACATCACAGGCATCGGCAAAATCCGGTGGTTTCATTAGGATTATGAAATGAGCACTGTTTCATGGTGTTCTTTCCCTTACTGTACATACATGCATATGACATCACAATACGTATCAAGAGCTTGCAGTACAATGTTGTGATGCTCCTTTCATCATTTGCCCCTTCCTTGCCCCCTACCAATGTCCATGTGAATGAGGTTCTGCCAGGCCTTTTGCCTGTGGCATCAAACTAAGCTTTTAATCTGGTAAGCCAGTCCTTTCCTTCTCCATAAGAGGTCCCCCCCGCACCCCCAGAGATGAGAATCCAAGGAAGTTGTGCTTGCTAATAATGTCCTTGTACCTAAAAATGTATTGTCTTTTCTCCAGTGTGGAGAACTGCTTAAAAATTATCTCTTCATATGGAAAATGACCTGAAGACTTTTATTTAAAGCTAAGTAGATGGCAGTTTTAATTGGGAGCAAATGTAATGAATGTTTTAGAGGACTGCGGTGCTATGAAATGTGAAATGCTTTGTTTACACAATACACTGAACCACAGATTAGCAGCTAACAACATTTTAGCCTCCCAAATTGTGTGAATTCAGCCCTCATGGATCCTGTATGGTTCAATGCACTGTGCAAACCCCAAAATTGGCTCAACCGAGTAAAGCGTGGTTAAGCATGATGTGAACTTAATAAAAGAATAGCACTGACAGATAAGCTGAAAATGTTTTTCTGGCTCGTTTCAGGGCATGTGCTAGGCTCAAATGTTGTCTTGTTTGTGGTTCAGTGTGTGTTGAGAAGACGGCATCTCTGAAATATGCAGGGCAAATTCTCAGTGGAAGGAATCATATTTTACTTCCTTAAGGTGAAAATGAGGGGCTGCTATTGAGATTTTCAAGCTGCAAAATGTCTTAGGTCAGTCATGTCTGTATTTTGAAGAATTCAAGCCACACTGCAGATTGGTGGAGGAAAAACAAGCCACGTACAGTAGGATAAATTTATGAGAGGACAATAGATACCCACGGTGAGACTTCATGGGTGGAAAAGCTACAATACATTATTCCATTTCCATTCCAGGAGCCACACAGATTGAAGAGGGTCCTACCAACATGGAAAAGGAGAAAGGTGAGAGTGTGACATTCTACTGCAAAGTACTGTTTGATGAGAGTATTTCGAAGCGTGGTATCCAATGGCGCCTAAATGGGGAAGATATTGAAGAATCAGATGACGATAACAAGTAAGTGCAAAGAGCACAATCATGTTGAATGAAGGCCTGGGGCTTGAAGGACTCTCGCATTGCCTTTACTCTGACCATTGGCCTTTCCATAGATACATCATCGGTGACACGTCGCTGACAGTCACCAACCTGGACTACTCTGATCAAGGAATGTACAGCTGCCTGGCCTGGACAGCCCTTGACTCTGTAGAAGAAAGCGCCAAGCTTTCGGTGTATGGCAAGTACCAAAAAAGGAAACATTCGATTTGGATTGTTTCCCTCTTCAGACTAGGGAGATCTCAAAGGGAGGCAGTGATATTCCTGACACACAGGTAGCAAATTGGCATTTTTAAAAAAGCGCTAGCTCTTTGCTATTTATCTATTTTTGCAGTTTGTGCCCATGTATGCTTCTGGCAAAGCCACCTACAGCACTTTATAATCATAAAAACATAATTGAAACAAACCAACATGTTGATGAATGAAAATAACACTATATCGCAGTGATAAAACAGCCGTTGGTCCAAATATACATGAACTTCAAGAAGGGAATGCCAGCTTACAAAAATAGGGTTTCAGATGATGTTTTGAAGTAATTAAAGAAGGTGAAAATTGTATCTTGATGGGAAAGAAATTGCACAGCATTGGGATGCAAAAGGCTCTTTTTCTGTACTATTACTTTTCCTGACTTTTTTCTTTCAAAATGCATATTCTTTTTATTCTTTTAAACATTTATTTAATAAAAATGATAAGAAAAGGCCCTAGTCCCAGTTAATTCCAGGCAGACCTCTTTCCTTAGCTGTGCATCCTCAGAAATCCAAGAGTGTACGTTCTGATTGGTAAACTAATTAATTTTAGTGGGATATTATTTGGGAGGAATTGGTATTAACTCTGTTAAAATTAAGTTGGATGATTCATTGATGTGTGGAGAATTCTAACCATTGACAGCAAAATATAATTGACAAATTACTTAAATATAAATGTTATACTATTTACATACAGTACATATATAATATAATTTATATTTTATATACATACAAAAGCAAAGTGTATAATACAAAGCTGACAGTGGTCTGTTTTTTGTTATTATAAGGTGAATTTGTTTCTAGTGTGTTACAAAAATACAGAATGAAAAGAAATGAATAATGGTTTTGAACTACAAATGTACAGAAAATGTAGACATAGTTCAGAATTTACAGAAATAAACCTGTTCCCAATAGAGGCGAATATGTGTAGGTCAGGGTTGAACTGTGGAGTCCTTGGGGTTCTAAGAACCAAGCTCAGAGAACCCCAAGGACTCCATAAACCTGTTTAAACAAGCGAGTTTTAATTACATTTAATCAGCCAATAATTTTAAAGGCCAGTGATTCATCAATTTTAGGTGATGGATTACTCTGTCAGCACATAATTTATAATAATGTTGTAATTCTATTGCTGAAAGCAGAATAAAAGGACCACTAGTTCAAATTTTCACATTGTGGGACAGCCCTGGAGAATCTGTTTTGGGGGAAAATCCTGGATTTTTCTTCTCTGGTGGGAACAGATAGCTGGGTAGCTGTCTCATTGCTGTTGTTTTGTCAGGCACACCTGGCCCTGTGTCAAATCTGGAGGTGCAGAGGCAGCAGAATCATCAGGTAAAGCTGACGTGGACACCTGGAGATGATCACAACAGAGCTATAACGGGTAAGGAATTGTGCTGGGTCTCTCTCCATTAGAGAGAAATGACATCTGATTAATCAGAACTTCCATGGATTTTCCTTGGAAGCAGAGGCATCCACAAGATCTGCTGCTTTTGTCAAAAGCAGTGTTGTGCTGTCCCACCACAACCTTTGGCCCTTTTGTATGTGCGTGCCGGGTCATGACAGAAGGGGCAGAGCTGACACTGCGGGACTGCTTTCATCACTTGCTTTGGACTTGAACCCTCCCCTGGATGCCTCTGCTTGGAAGAAGTTTGGGCGAGCAGGCAAGATGTTGATCATAATCCCCACTTGCTTCATTCCTTCTTTTTTCTCTCACAGCAGCACTTAAAAACAATGTTGTGGCTGGAGAGTGCCATAGAGAGCAGCTTTGTATTTCTCTGTTTATATTGCCACTGTTATTTGTCACTTAGCACAGTTTAAAGCAAGGCAATCAAGAAGATTAGCTGATTGGAAAGATGCAGTTGTCTGTGATGTGTAAAATGACTCAGTGCTTCAGAGATACCCCTGAATTTTGAAGCTAGACATAAGTCATGCATTAGTGAAGATGTCATTTTTACATTTCTCTGTTTCTGAGTGTGTAGAAATACAGAGAATATTCAGTCAATTGGATTCCTATACTGTATTCAGTAATTGAGTTGCTGAATGCCTGGATTTGCACATTATACTGAACCATAAATTAACCACATCTATGTACAGGCACATTTTAGCTTAGCTTGTAGCATGAACCTAGGAAGGAAGTAGGATCCTAGTTAAACATGACAGCGTTTTTAATGACCTTTGCCTGCCTTTTTTTAACCATTCAAACTCTGAGAAAATGCTTCCCCTCTCCCTCGCAGAATATGCTGTGTTTTGTAAAGAAACCAAATTTGGGTCAGCAGAAATGGAATGGTTAGCCACCGTCCCAGGAAACCAGCCATGGGCCATTCTTCAACTATCTCCATTCAGAAATTATAACTTCTATGTAGAGGCCAGCAATGACCAGGGGAAAAGTGAATTAAGCAGCCAATCTGCCAATCATGCCACAGATCCTGCAGGTAAGAAGGTTCAGGATGCTGGGAGAAGGATACAAATAGTCCTCAACTTACGACCACAATTGGGACTGGAACTTCTGTCACTAAGTAATGCAGTCATTAAGTGACTCGTGCCCAATTTTACAATATTTTTTGCCACGGTTGTTAAGCGAATGTCTGCGGTCATTAAATGAATCACACAGTCATTAAGGGAATCCAGTTTCCCCCATTGACTTTGCTTGCTGGAAGCCCCCTGGGAAGGTTGCAAATGGTGATCACATGACCCTGGGATGCTGCAGTCATCGTAAATAGATGCCAGTTGCCAAGTGCCGAAGTTTTGATTGTGTGACTGTAGGGATGGTGCGATGGTCATAAATGCGAGGACAGGTCATAAGTCACTTTTTCCAGTGCCATCATAACTTCAAATGGTTGCCAAACAAATGGTTGTAAGTCAAGGACTATCTACAGTATATAGGGATGGAAACTTCCTATGGGCAATGGTTCTTGTAAGAGTTAACACAAACATGCCTTGCTCAAAACAGTCCTGGTTCACATGCATTGGCTCCTAATACCTCTGGGACAGGCATGCCAGGCCATTCCTGACTGTAAGTGCTGTTTTGTCCAACAAGGTAACAGTGGCTTCTTCTTAGTAAACTAAGCCCAAGTAAGAAAGCACTTGCTCTTTGGTTTCCGGCTTGCCATCGTACTGTGGTAGATCTGAGTTGACAAAAGGCAGAGTGCCAATTAAAATAATTAACAGATCAACAAATAAATAAAGAAAATGGGTTAAGAGATCCTGAACGTTTCAGAAAATAGTTCCTAACTAGTCTCTGTAGTTGAGAAAATGAACTTTAAAAGAGCATTCACAAAGTTGATGAAGGATGATTCCACACAAGTGTGTGACTTCAGTGCTCTGTAAAGCTTCTTGTCCTTTGTCCGCTAACAGAAGCATTAAAACTCTACACTAACTATGAATTATACCTTGTTCTGTTGGGATTTTCATGAGTGGTCTAGAAAATGGAATCGGGGGTTCATTAGAATCAGTTACTCCGAGGGATGGTGGGCTCCCCTTCATTAGATGCAGACAGGTAAAGGCTAGACAGCCATCAGTTAGGATGTTTTGAGTTGGATTCCTGCACTGAGCAGGGGGCGGGGCTCCATGGCCCTTTCCAACTCTGTGATTCTGTGGAAATTACTTTTCCTACTGATAAAAGACAAAATAGGGAATAGATGCAGGCTGCCCCACCTTCACAAAAAGGCAAGCTTCCACTGAAAAATGGCAAGGAAACAAACCAAAAAAAACCCAAGAGTTTTGCTGCCCTAAATTGCATCATGCATGCATCCATGCATGGATGTGTGTGTGTGTGTGTTTGTGTGTATAGTCTTATCTGAAATTAAGATGCTTGCTGAAATAATCTGCTTATATATATATATATATATATATATAGAGAGAGAGAGAGAGAGAGAGAGAGAGAGAGAGAGAGAGAGAGAGAGAG